TCTTTTCCACAAGCCAACCAGATTCAACAGGAGGGCACTTGGACCCTGTTTGTCCATGTGAGGGTGTCAAAGTTACATCATAGAAGAGCACGTAGGGCGGATGATATTGTTGCACCCTGCTTTGGAAAATACAATCTTCCACAAAATAAATAGCAGAGACAGTGAAATATGTATACCCAACTGAAATTTTCTTCTCTTTCCTTCTGTAGAATCCCCTTGCCCCAGCCCCAATCTCCAAAATCATCTTTCCAGCACAGGGAGGAAGGCAAGCACCAGTGGGCTCATGTGGTAGAGCTCATGCAGGCTTCCAGAACAATGCTAAAACAAAACTCCTTTGTAAGCGCCTATCTTGTGCGTATTTAAAATATGACATCCCGGACCCTGTGACAAAGAAATAATTCCTTCCACCTTTCCTGCCACGGTAGTTTCCAGAGATTGTTTCTTGATTTAAGTTGAAAAACTGAAAGAAGAACATCAGGTCCTAATCCCCATCAACAGATTGCTTCTGGCCAAGAACCCCCAGGTTCCACTTTGTTCGTTTCTGTAGGAATTTGGACGAGCTAAAAAAGACACTGTTTTTCAACTCAGAATCTCCATCCCGTCCAACTGAAATGAATGTCAGGTTTCAAAAGTGGGGGAGGAACAGCTCAGGATAAACAGAATGCTAGCTGTTGAAATATGCGTTTGTTTATTGAGCAGTTTTAAAGAAATTAAAAATGCCATTGGTCCTATCTCTTTAATTAGAGATGAGACCTGGACGTTGGGCTGTGGAGGTTGGTTGAAAACAGGGCCGTATTGACCTCAGTCTAAACAGAGGAAAAATTAGTGTAAGCACCAAAAAAAGCATTTGATTATTTTTCTTTAAATGTAAATAATATTTTTGGCCAGTAGAGAGTTGAGGACGGGCTCAAACTGCCGGTGCTGCTTTCAGCAAATAAAACCCTGTTCAAGACGCGGGGTAAACTCACCACCAATTTAGTCTCATTTCAAAGCCATCTGACTTATTTGAGCCTTCCGTGTCATTTTGACTGGTCTGGGACCTTTGGGTAACATCTGAACGGAACGTCTATCGACAAATGCCAAAAATAATTTTTAAATATCAACCCTCTAGAATAAGTGATGGAGAGTGAGGCATTCTTGAGAAGTGATGGAAAGATCAAACTCATTTTATTGATTTGGAAAGTAGCTTAACTTCGAGTCCACCCTGCGATGCTGATGTGATGTGATCGAGTCGTACACTTCTCTGGCTTCCTTGCACTCTGTTCCACTGCTGTCAGCAAACAAACCTGCAGAAGACATGACGGTAGCTCTTGTTTAAGAGCATGCCCAGGGGGGCTGGCCTGGTGGCCAAGTGGTTAAGTTCGTGCAGTCCACTTTGGTGGTCTGGTGTTCACTGGTTTGGATCCCAGGTGTGGACCTACTCACTGCTCATCAAGACATGCTGTGGCAGCATCCCACGTAGAAGAGCTAGAATGACTTACAACTAGGATATACAACTATGTACTGGGGCTTCAGGGAGAAAAAAAGAAGAAAAAATAGGAAGATTGGAACAGATGTCAGCTTAAGGCCAATCTTCCTCAAAAAAAAAAAAGACCACTACAATCAAGATACACATTTCTAGCACCCTCCAATATTCTAATTGTTCATTTAAAGAAAAAAGAAAAGAATGCGCCCATGGTGATCTGGCAGGTCCTTGGCTTTTCCGGGATTTCTCAAGGGCCAGCACCACCGGTCAGCTCAGCCAATGGACAAGGAAAGAAGAGTCCAGAGAAACCTGGTGTCCAGGATGGGAAGCTGACTGAGCACCCAGCGTGGCCTGCTCTCAGTCTGCCTTCTTTTGGTAGCCGTTCTAACCTGTCCTTCAGCTTGTACTTGAATACCTGCCATGACAGATAACTCACTGCCTCCTAAAATCTCCTGTTCCATTGGGAGTCTTTGTTGGGCCACACTCCCTAACACTAAGCTGGAATGTCAGCCCCCTCCGATGAGTGTGGGACAAAATGAAAGAAAGACAGATGTACCAAGCTGAGCTCATTCTCATTTGCACTCTCCGGTCTTGCTACGCTCCCTGGATCTTTATAGAGGAGTCCAAGGGAGCAAAACAGAAGCATGAGCGTTGCCTGTGGGTCATTCTCCATGTGGGTGGTTCTCTGCTGAGGCACCCGAGCTCACAGGACCGGCACACGGGGACAGCCGCGATGTGGACCAGGCACAGGGGCTGCGAGTGGGAGATGCGAGGCCTGGAGCGTGTCAGCTGGCAGCACGCTCATTGGGCTGTGGGAGAACGGTACCTGAGGAGCACAAACCCCACAGGACATAGAGGATTTCCCTACACACTGCTGCTTTGCTGCACAACAATGAGGTGGATACTTGAGGGAAAAGAGCAGAGGCATTTAATTCATTTTTATGTTTGAAAGATGCTTTCAATATTCAGATCACACAGGGCTGTGGAGGCCTCCGTGCAGATGTTGCTCTTACTTTGTAGAAATGGAAGCCGTGGCGGAGTCTTGGCCAAAGCGTCATACGACCCGGACCACATCGGGAGACGATCATTATGCTTGCTATTGAGCATTCAAAGTATGCCTCAAATGTAAAAACATTGAGAGCCGCAGCTTTATTCATCCATTTATTTATTCATCATTGAACAAATATTTATGGAAGATCTCCTATACATTGGGTATTATTTGTCCTCAGAGTTGGGAACAGAGCAGGGAACAAGGCAGACAAGTCCTGACCATCTGGAGGCTCAGCTCTACCTGGAGGAAGAGAATAAACAAATGCGGATGTATTTCATAGGGAAAAACAGAGCTGTCTTGGGAGAAGGAGAGGGCAGAAATAGAGGAGGGCCTCTTTAGAGACAGCAGTCAGCTACGGAGACACTGGGACAAGAGTGTTTCGGCAGCTCCCTCCAGAGACATTGCAAGTGCAGAAGTCCTGTGGCAGCAATGTGCTGGGCTGTCAAGGACCAGCAGCAAAAAACCCAGTTGTTCTAGAGGAAAGTGAGCAAGAGGGAGAATAATGTGCAGAAAGAATGAAGAGGTGGTGAGGGGCTTCGGAGGCCATTGTACAGATGTTTCTCTTATTTCGTTGGATGGAGGCCACCAGAGAGTTGGCAGAAGAGTGCTCTGACCTGGACTACATTGTGAGAGAACTGCTCTGTATGCTATGACAGAAATGGAGTGAGGAGAGCAAGGAGGGAACAGGAGTCTACTCCAATCATCCAGGCAAGACATGGTGGTGGTCCAGACCAGGCCAGGCTGGGCCATCCTCAGCTGCAAGGGTCCGTGACAGTGAACATGTCTAGCTGAGCACATTGTCACTGAATTCAATCAGAGTTATTAAAGAGGAAGGTGAGATCAGCTCCAGGCCAGGCAGTGGCAGGGCCTGCCATAGCTCCCGTGTGGCCTTCGGTCCAGACTTCTGTCTTCAGTCCTATTTTCCACCAAAGGGAATCAGGACTCTGGTTCTCAGAGCTTGGGGCAGGAAAAGTATTAATGAGTATGGAAGGTGCTGTTAATGCCAATAAATAAAAATTGACAGTGAGGTTGCTGTTGACAAGACAAAGGAGTCACTTTGAAGAGACCCCATCAACAAATGGATCATGAAAAGGAAAATAATAATGAAGGTTACCTGAAACAAGCTGACTTTGTGGAAGACCGTGAATTCATAACAATACTCAAGAGGGAAGTTAACATAACGTGTGCAAAAGATTTGTTTAACTATACTGCTTTTATTAAGTAGAAGAGTGTTTGTATTTATTTTTTCTACGAAACCCATGTCTCTTGAAAAAGTATAGAGTTATATTTCTCACTGTCTCTGTAGATAAGAAAGAATAAACACAAGGAACTATAAATAAACTACAATAATCCCTCAGATGTGGGTACTAGATCGTGTAATAAGCAGGTGGAAAGAAAGTCAAGCAGTTGACTGCTCTTGCGGTCCTACACGGCAATCAATTAACCAGAGACTCTGACAGAGTGCTCCAAGGTGATTAATTAGCCAAATGTTGCACACACTCCATCTCTCATCCCCGGTAGATGGAACCTTAAGATGACCCTACTAATTATAATGCAATATTGATAACACATGCATAAGTTTCCAATTAATATTTATAGAGTAGACCAATTTATCATAATGACAGGACAATAGTTTAGATATTGCCAACCATAAGAAACTTTTAGAAATACATCACTCCTGGGAAAGACACCAAGTTTCGAAAAACTAAATGTCTGAATTTTAGATTTGAAAGGGCAGGGACTTAAAAGCCCAGATATAACAAATAGGACTTCATTATCTAAAGGAACTCAGCCAGCGATTTGGTTTGGATCACTTTAGACTACACAAACTTGTCCTGGATCAGCATCTGTGACCGCTTCTCTTCCGAAATGATAGATATGCACACAATTAGATTGGGGTCTGCTAAAGTTATTAGTGTATGACAATTACTGAAGCCCTACGTGGGTGTAACAAATGAAGCCTTGGGAATACCATAAGGAACAATAACAACCATTTAAATGTAGGGAATTCATAATTGTGTGACCACTTTTACATGTTAATCACTGTGATTTTGTTTATGTTTGTGTCTTACAATGACCACTAGTCAGAATAGCCTAGGTTATGCTGTGATGATGAGTAGTCTCAAAATCCTAATGACGACACAACAAAGATTTTCTTCTTTCTTATGCTCCATATTCATCATCGTTCAGCAAAGGGCTCTGCTCCACCAAGTCACTCTGGGACCCAGGCCGATCAAGGCTCCAGAGCCTTGCAGTTACATCATCTGGAAGATGTGGCCTCTTCTGTCACTGACTGTGATGGTTTTTAAAAGGTGTCCACAAATTCTTTATCCTTTCCCTTCAAAAAGTGGATACCAATTTCCCTCCCTTTAAGTGGACTGTGCTTAGTGACTTGCTTTTAATGAATAGAATGTTGCAATAGGAATACTGTGATTTCCAAGGTCGGCTCATAAAGGGCATTGTGACATCCACATTATTCTGTCTTGCATAACTCCTTCTGGGGGAAGCCATCTGCCATATTGTGAGGACACTCAAGCAGTTCTATGAAAGGTCTACACAGCAAGGAACTGAGGCCTCCTTCCAACAGTCAGTGAGGAATTAAGGTCCTCATGCCAACAACCACGTAAGTGAGCCATCATATGAGCAAATCTCCCAGCCTCAGTTGGGCCTTCAGATGATGGCAGCCCTGGACGCCATCTTGACTGCAACCTCAGGAGAGACCCTGAGCCAGAGCTACCCAGCTAAGCTGTTTCTGAGTTCCTGACCCACAGAAGCTGTGAGATAATCAATATTTATTGGTTTAAGCCACTAAGTTTTGGGGATAATTTGTAGCAATAGATAACAAACACATTAAGACAAGGCGAAAGAGCATTGGAGGGTCTTGTTCTGGCAATTTAGTGTTCTGGCCCAGAAGAGGCACATTGAACTTCTGCTGTCAGCCCATTAGCCAGAATTAGCCAAAGGATTATGCCAAATTGCAAGCATCAGAGATTCTTCCCATGTGTGCAGGCAGAGAGGAGCCTGAGACACGAACAATTACTATAAGCCTTCACTACAAAGCATGTAAGACCTTAAAGAGAATCTTACATAGTTGACCTGTGCTTTTAATTAAATGTTTGGAAAGTTTGATTAAATAGGTTTATAATAATGTGTAAATATTAGGACATTTTTAATTCATCATATTCATAACTGTGAAAGATTACATTGGAAATGGATAGCTAGAGAAAATGTGGGCTGTTAATATATAAAAATGTTTATGGTTTGTTAAACTCCTAAGATGAATAACCTTTTTATTAGATCCAAGATGCACAAGTATAAGCATTTTTCCTGAACAAACCCTTTTGAACTTCAAAAAAATCTATGAGTCTGGTGAAGAGATGGGTGGATAAAATGTCCTGGCGCTCGCAAAGAAGAAAACGGCAGATTCTGAAAGATAAGATGCTGCCTCTTGGAAAGTTTCTTAGTGGAACCATTAAATAGGAGATGGTAGCATACCTACGAAAGAAGGTGAGCCCACACGTTGATTCTTGTTCACCAAGAACAAGCCATGACAAACCACCTTCATTTCCTCTTAGGCTGGGCTTCTCTATTGGTTAAATTTTAGCAGAACTTATGCAAAGACTTGTTTTTTTACCCTTGCATTACACGACATTAATTCACAGCTAAAATGACACTCAAGGAGTATCAACACGGTTAGAAACATTAAGATGTGTGTTTGATTTCTTTGTAACTGTCCCTCTCTTGATAAGTAACTTGGATAACCCAGAAGTTAATAACACAAAGCCCAGGGGTGTCATTGCTCTGATGGATCATCAACTCATGATTCGAAATGATCCTGTTAAGTTGAGGAATGGTCTGAAGCCAAGTGGAAAGGAAGTATAGTCACCGAGAGCCTTTAACTAGTGGACCAGGGCCACTTTGGCTCTTTGACATATTTCTTTCACAACCTGCCTCATGGCCAGTAGAGGAGGCAAAAATATTCTCTTCTTCCTTCTCTCCTAAGTATAGATGGTCATGGCTCAGGACTTGTCTTTTGTAGGCACACTGCACATCTTACTCTGGTATGTGTGTACACACCCATGTGTGTTTAGCTTCTTTACCTTAAAATGAATGAGAGAGTTCAGTCAGCCTTACACTATTTCCCAGTCATCTTTAATTGCGGATGGACAGAGCTGAGGTCACCTCTGAGCCTTGGAGAACCAAAACGAATTCTCTGTTACAGTTGAGATCAAAGACATCTGCCTTTTGTCAATCTTGGGACACATGCCCAACCACTAATAAAGACTTCATTTTTATTTTCATCTCATTTTGTCTACACACCACTGGACAGAACCCTGGAAGGGAAGAGGGGTAAGTCTCAGGCCTCAATTCCCAATAGGTCCAGATGGAACATAAGGCCAGAGTGTGGCGTGGTTTCTGGGAAAACTAATGTTATCTTAGGTGGCATTGCTAGAATTGCAGAGTCCAGAAGAGAGCAGTGAAATAACCCTTTCTTTGGCAATGGTCAGACTGTAGAAAAACGGTGCTTGCTTCTGAGTTCCACACTCAAAGGAGGTGACACAGAGTGGTGATCAGGATAGTGAAAAATTGGAGGTCACCTGCGGGCTGGTGGAGGAAGCTAAGGCTGTGCAACCTAGGCTGGAAGGAGACAGGTTGATGTCCTCAGACATTTGAAAGATCACAGAAGAACTGGTGTGGACAGAGCCAGCACTATTTATGGGGAGAGAACCCGTCCTGGGAACTGGCTGTGCCAGGAAGATACCCAAATTCAGCACAGGCAAGAATTTTCCAACCGAACTGTCTCAGTTGGTGTTTTCCGCCCCATGGGGTGGTGAGACTCCATCATTGGCAGTGGCCAACCACAGACGTGATGGTCATTTGTTAGGACTGATGCCAAGGATCCTGACCTGGGATAATTAAACTATGGCCTCCAAATTCCTTCCTCATCAAGACTCCATAACCCTGAGTCTGGCTGACTGACACATACAAGCTCACAGGGTAGACAGAGCTAACTCTTCTAACGAAGAGAGCTTCCGTCTATATGGTCAGCATGGTTAATGTGCACCAATATCTAGTTCTCTTCTTTCACTTGCACAGAGGATTATAAATTCTATTCCTGTAAGTTAGATATGGCCATGTAATTAGTTCTTACCAAAGACATGTGAATGGAAACGTCATGTTCCTTCTGGGCCAAAGCCGTTAACTACAGATGCTTGACCTTCTGACTCTCTCTTCATCTGCAAGAGAGGAGTGCTGAGATGGAGAGGCTGAAGGAAGGAAGCCATCTGAATTGCTAAATATGGAGGAGAGCGCCCTGAGGGGTCGCCCAGATCTGCTGCAGACTTTGTGAGAGCCGAAAATCAACTCTTTTTGTGGAAAGCCTCTGAGATTTTTAGGTGATTTTTTCCTGTAGCAAAATTTAGCCTATCCTGACTGATATACTTTGGAAATAGACGGCATGTGAGTTTCCAATAGGAAAGGGACTGGAGAAGCTGGGCAGAGGTCTGATGAGGCGGCTAAAAGGAAAAACCATGAGTCAGATCTCCTGGGACTGTACATTTTCATGGAGCATTGGAGCATGACCCACATTTCTAAAGTTCCCTCTGAGACCCCAAATAGTCCTCCTTAACTGTTAAATGAGAAATGCCCGACTTGAAAGTTGGGAACCAAGAAGGCACCAGAGAGTGAAATGAAGTTAAGCCAGGCTTCTGGAGTTGCCCGCTTGGCTCTCGGCAAAGACCAAAAGACTTCTTTGCGAGAAAAAGCCAACCCCATTTGTCTGCAAAGAAAGCACATCTAGGTTTACACAGAATCCGCTGATTTTGCAAATTGGTTCCACAGAATCCAAATGAGCCTTATTTTATAGATGTAGAAACTGAGGTCTCACGGGTTCCAATGAGCTTGAAACTGGGTCCTCTGGGCACTGTCTTCACACCGGGCCATGCGACAGGATTGCATAATGGCCATATTTCTTCAAAGGAGAACCCAAGAGCACTCCCCAGGCCCCGTGTCGACAGCCCTGGGCTGGGGAGAAACGGCCGCCCCTCACAGAAGCTCGGTTTCCAGAAGGGCTCACCCTTTGCCCTAAGACAGCTTTGATCACGGTGAAGTTTCCACAAACACAGAACGAATGAGGAAGAAGATGATTATGTTTTTAACCTGATCTGCACTGATGAGAAATGAGGCGTAGACAGTCTTCAGCTCACACATTCCCTGAGCGCCCCCCGCTTCAAACAACTGTCATCTTTCCCTTTAAAGACCAGGCTTCAGATGTTGTATATTTTGTTTGCTTTTTATCACTTCTCATCACATAATTCAGATTTGCTGGTAGAAGTCACTCATGACTTTCCGACACGGTTCAGGAGAGTCCAAGCCCAGAAGGCAGCCTGCCTGCCTGCCCGTCCGCCCCAGTTCCCTGCTTCACTTTCTGCCTGTGTGGCTTTGGGCAAGTTACTTCACCACCACACGCTTCAATTTCCTCATCAGTTAAATGGGCATCATCATAGCATCTAGCCGTCAAGGCAGTTGTGGGGCAAAATGTGTTCATAGATGTAAAACATTTGGAAAAGTGCTTGGCATGTGGTAAGTATTCAAGAAGTAGTATTTATGTTTGACTGAGTTCTTGACTGGAAGCCAAAGAAATTCCAAGAACTGTGAACAGTCTCTGTGTCCTCAGGTCTAGCGGGGTTTAAAATAAGGTAATTCATGGGCCTCCCGCAAAGGCCCTAAATAGCCATCAGGAGAAAAGAAAAAGACGAGACTAAGCAATAATCTGAGGATTATCTGTAAGAAGTTAAGAATGGGCAATAGACAGGAAGCGACCAGCATCTGCTACGGTCACGGTGTCACCTGATCCCCTCCAGCTCTCAGAATGCTGGGAAAAAGAACCGTTTAAATGGCCAATGAGACAGGAGCAGGCCTCTGCAGGGGCTTCCTGGCAAGTTTTGTTTTCTGTTTTAAGTTCTGCACCTTCTTCCTCATCTCGTCTTCCTCCTCCTACTCAGAAAACAAGACTGTCTGTTTCCAATTAGGAAAAGCCACAAGAATCTCAGACACCTGGGGTCCTGACAGCCCCAAGCCTCTGAGCCAGGACCCAGTGCATGAGGGAAAAAACAAAACAAAACTGTAATGTGTTTATGCTCCTCTTTAGTGGGTTTTGTTATTTGTGGCAAAATGCAAACTCTAACCAATACACTAATCATGGCTTCTGTGAACACACACAAATGTTTCAAAAGTGAACAAAAGAAGGAATAGAGGATCATGGGAACTCTAGCGTGCTCACTGCTCCATCAATTCCTCTCTTCCAGTATCCTTGTGAAAATTACCCTCAGGGCATGGGGCCTGCAAATAATGCAGAACCTTCCAGAAACGCAAGGCATGAACAGCCTAATACCAAATAATAGCACTGATATCTTGATCTATTCCCTCAGAAGCCAAAATAATTAAAGGATTTAAGTACAAATACATCAGATAGAGAGATAGATGAAAAAGCTAAATAAGAAGAAGCAAAAGTTACAAAAAGTCCTGTATACTTAAAGCAAAAATAAGGTACCACAAAAAGAGAACAATAAACAGAAAGACCTCTTGAGATACACACAATTGCCGGGACAACAAATTCATTAGGCATTCCAGAAAATAAAGAGAGAGAAATCTCACAAAATACAAAGCAAAAGGAAAAAATATATACATCCAAAATTGGAAGAACAGCAATTTCAGAAAGGGACAATGGAGAAGATGGAGGGGAGAAAATTGCTAAAGAAATAATGCAAAAGAATGCATTTTGAAAGGAAAAAATGTGCAAAAGCAGAGAAAAATAGTTGTTTTTCTTGCCCCTTCATAATGTCTAAAGCTAATCAGAAGGTGATAAAGCTGATATACTCTTGAATAAACTTAGTTAATCCTTTTGAAAATCATTTTACGTTAAGAACCACAAGAAAAGTCAATTCCTTTAACCCAGATATCCCTTGTGTAGAAATTTCTCTGAAAGATATAATTCCAAAACAAGAAAATTCACATACGCAAAGATGCTCTCTAAAATACTAATTATAATAAGAAAAACTGGAAACAATTTAAAATGTTTATTAATAAAGCAATGGAAAAGAAACTGAAAAGATAAAAAGGTAAGTGGCCAATAAACACATCATGTTATCAAAGAAGTGACAAAGAATTGACAATTGTTGTGACAGTGAGTTGTCAGTTTTATCCATCAAATAGGCAAAATTTTAAAAGAATAACGTCCAATGTTGTGGATGAACACAATTTCATGCTCTATTGGTGAGAGTGACGATGGGCCCAACATTCCCAAAGGATATTTTTAAAAATCTTTAGGATAAAACACATTCATTTCTACTTCTGAGTGTTTAACATCAGGAAATTATTCAGCAATCATACAAATGTGTACCTAAGGGGAATTAATAGCATTTACAGTAGCAAAAAGCTAGAAATGAGGCACGTCCTTCAGCAGAGAGCAGGGGCACTGGCGAGAGCCACATCCTGCGGTGGTACCTCATGGATTCAGCGTGCTGCTGTCGCTCTGTGTGGGTTCATGTCATGCTCTATTAAGCTTAAAATGCAAGTGATGAAACAGTGTGTCATGTATGACCCCATTTGGATGAATATATATCATATATAAAGGGTAAATATGCATCTTGAAAGTGTTTGGAATTATATATATCTTAACCGTAGCAGTTGCTGTCATGGACTTCCAGAAGTTTTGAGGAATATATATTTTTTTAATTTTCAGAATTGACATCTTCTTTACAATGCATTGCCATTTTAATCAGAAAATAATGAACACAGTCATTTTGGGGGTGGGGGTATGGATAAAGAATGCCTTCCCACTGCCAACTTCTCAGCCCCAACAATGCAGAGAACGGAGAACAGGCTTCTCGGATGCGCTCGTCTTAAAGCCATGAGGCTGGCTAGCTACCTGGGCGTTTCAGTGCCAGATCAATACTAGCCATTTGAAGTCCAGTCATCACTTTTGGAAGATTTCCTCTCACATTTAACTATGTTTGAGCAACGACCCTGTGTAGGTTCCACTCACTCATTTACTTAGAGGTACTTTTTTTTTAAAAAAAGATTTTACTTTTTTTCCTTTTTCTCCCCAAAGCCCCCCGGTACATAGTTGTATATTCTTCTTTGTGGGTCCTTCTAATTGTGGCATGTGGGACGCTGCCTCAGCGTGGTTTGAGAGCAGTGCCATGTCTGCACCCAGGATTCGAACCAACGAAACACTGGGCCGCCTGCAGCAGAGCACGCGAACTTAACCACTCGGCCACAGGGCCGGTCCCAAGAGGTACTTTTTATAACTGGTTGATCTTGGAGTCTTCATCAGGAATTCACATAACTTAAAGTGACACATCCTTTGCTAAGCTTTACTAAGGCTTTTATGACTAACACGAGCATTTAGTAACACCTATTCTACATTTTCCAGCCTAGAATTATTGCTATAATGTAAAAATCTTGGGCCTGGAACACCCTCTGTCTATTGATAAAATAAATCCCAATTTACGTCCTCACTCATTAATTCTCCAAATATTCTTTTAATTTGCTTTTGTGCCTGACACTTTTAGGAACTGGAGATATAATAATGTTATGGGTTGAATTATGTACCCCGCCCCAGATTTATATGTTGATGTCCTAACTTCCAATAACTCAGAAACTGACCTTATTTGGAGATGGGGACTTTACAGAAGTAATCAAGTTAAGGTGAGGTCATTAGAAGGGGCCCTAATCTAATCAGACTGGTGGTTATATAAAGAGGATGAATTTGGGAAGCCAGGCACATGGGGAGCACGCCATGTGAACATGAAAATGACCATCTATAAGCCAGGGAGAGAGACCTGGAACCACCTCTGTCAACATAGTGATTTTACACTTCTAGCCTCCAGAACTGTGAGACAATACATTTCAGTTCACGGTGCTTTGTTACAGCAGCCCCAGCAAACCAGTACAGATGGTGAACAAGCCAGGCCTAGGCCTAACCCTTAGGCAGCTTCCCATGCAGTGGAGGAGATTCAGCAGCCCTATTCGCACATGATGAAAGCTGGCAGAAGGTGGGACAGACAGGATGACTTGTTCTTCAGGCAGGTGTCCTGGTCAAACAGCTGTCCAGCTCTCCAGAGACAGAGTCTGGGTTTCAGTCTGGCCGAGCATTTATACCTATGGCTCTTTAACTAAAAGGCAATGAAGACAAGCTTCACTCCAGGTATCAGAGAATAAAGCCTTGAAAATGTCATCACTTTAGGCTTAAAATTTAAACTGACCAGAAAAATGAAAATTTTTCAAATCATGCATCTGATATAGCGTTGATATCCAAAATATATAAAGAACTCATACAACTCAATAGCAAAAAACAAACGACCCAATTAAAAAATGGGCAGAATATCTAAATAGACATTTTTCCAAAAAAGACAGACGGCCAACAGGTACATGAAAAGATGCTCAACATCACTAATCACCAGGGAAATGCAAATCAAGGCCACAATGACACATCACCTCAGAACCTGTTAGAATGGCTGTCGTCAGAAAGACAAGTGCTAACGAGCATTGGCGAGGGTGTGGAGGAGAGGGAACTCTTGTGCACTGTTGGTGGCAATGTAAATGGATGCAACCACTATGGAAAACAGCTTGGAGGTTCCTCAGACAATTAAAAATAGAGCTTCCATGTGATCCAGCAATCCTACTTATGGGTATATATCCAAGGAAAGTAAAAACACTACTTCGAAAACATATATGCACCTCCACGTTCACTGAAGCATTATTTACGATAGCCACGATATAGAAACAACCTACGTGCCCACTGACGGATAAATGGATCAAGAAATTGCGATATACATAATTACACTGGAATATTATTCAGCCATAAATAAGAATGAAATCTTGCCACTGTGACAACACGGATGGACCCGAGGGCATTATGCTAAGTAAATAAGTCAGACAGAGAAAGACAAATACTGTATGACCTCACTTGTATGTGGAAACTGAAAAAAGCCAAGCTCATAGATACAGACAACAGATTGGTGGTTGCCAGCAGTGAGGGGAGGGGCTGGGGGAGAAATGGGTGAAGGGGGTCAAAAGGTAGAAATTTCAAGTTATAAAATAAATAAGTCCTGGGAATACACTGTATAGCATAGTGACTATAGTTAATAATACTGTATGGTATATTTGAAAGTTGCTAAGAGAGTAGATCTTGAAAGTTCTCATCACAAGAAAAAAATTTTTTTAACTTTATATGCTGACAGATGTTAACTAGACTTATTGTGGTGATCATTTCACAATGTATACAAATATTGAATCATTATGTTGCACACCTGAAACTAATACAATGTTATATGTCAGTTATACCTCAATAAAAAAAATAGAGAAAATATTACTCCCCCAGCACTGGGTGAAGGATTAAGCCCCCTTCCCGGGAGCTCCTTTCACGCGCCTGTACGTCACAGTTAGAGCGCAGGTGCGTGCAAAACAAACTCAGAGGCAGCCTGGGCAACTCCCAGCTGCTGAGCCCGTGAGGATGTTGATAAAGGATGCTGTTCCCCGCCCAGCACAGTGAGTGCTCAATTGCAGGCCACAGGGACACGAGTCTCAAGTCTCAGCAGCATTAGCTGAATTGTGCCTCCTGAATAGCTGTCATGGTTTGTTTATATTAAGGTCAGTGTAAGCCATGTCACATGATCATGTTTTCTTATTCTTACTGGCTGCTTAGAACCTCAGAAACATCTTTAAGACCCTTTTGGCAGACGTATGGGACCTTGAAGTGCACATTCCCTACTTCATCTTATTACTTCTACCCTCTTAACCCAGACCAACTTTTATTTAAGCCACATCAATTTTCATGAAACACTTCCAGTAATTGTTTATGTGAAGAGAGCTATGGATATTTAAAATTAAATATACAATTTAATTGACTCTGGAAACCACTCAAATGTATTTTGTTCAGTTATTGAAAAGATATGACATCATGGACAAATATTCATATTTATTCATATTTAATGTTTTGTTTGTTTTATTTGATGTTAAGGAAAGGAAAGCTCAGGATGGACTTCTCTTTCCAGCTGTGTCCCCATCAGCCGTTGATGGAAAACAAAGGAGGAGCAGCTCCAGGAGCCCCTGAGAACAACTATGGAGCCACTCAAGGGGGCAGATCCAGGCTGCAGTCATGGGCCTTCCCAAGCCCAGAAAGTGGCTGCTAGTTCACTGTTCTCGCAAGCACTTGGATACACTTTCTTTGATGTCCCTTCTTTTCTACAAGAAATGGCCATATCTGCAGTTGAGTAGCTTTCTTAGCCTGATTCCTGCCTAGAGATATTTAGGAATTCAGAGGTCTTTGTGCAAATTTCACAATCTCAGTTCCTGCTACAGCAGTGTGGTTGTTTAGATCCCCTGAATGAATCACCTCACTGAGACAAATACAACAACAGGTGCAACATAAGAAACACCTTTAAATGTAATGCTGAGCTGGCACAGAAGCTAGAAATCCACAGAACGACTTGGAAATATCAGGCACCAATCCTGGTTCTGTGAGATCTTAAACTTACAAAATTTGGAGGACCTCCAACAAAAGAATACTAAATTTAAAAAACAAAATGAGGTGCAGTATCTTGGAAAGAGTCTATGCAAATGGAGAGTTCTAAAACTCATGTTTCATTAACTTCACAGTACATCTGCTTCCAGAAAGTAGTAAACCTAGAAAAAGTGTATTATTTGAGAGGACAATAGAGATATTGATAAACTTTAGACATTCTTAAATGTGCATATTGAAATAGCTAAGATAACCATTAATAGAACAGACGTAGACTATATACCTTTAAAACAATTAGAGGGAAAACAATGGATCAGATTTTAAGGCACTCCATCTGAATTAAGGCACAAAAGGAGAAGATAAAAGAGGATGAAACAAATATAAATTGCATAGTAAAAATGTAGGCATAAATCCTAATTGCACTAAATAGAAATGGAAAGAAAGTCTCCCCTAAAATATGAGGACCATCAGTCTGAACAAAATAGAAAAACCAAATTCAACTATATAATGATTATAAGAGATAACTGTAAAACCTAAAGACACAGAATAAATGAAATCAAAAGATGGAATAAAACGCATTAGGGAAATAATAACCTGAAAAGAAAATTCTAAATTTAAATACTACTAATAGCCTCAAATATATAAAGCAAGAATTACTGGAACAACGAAGAGAAATTGATGAATTACCTTAATGATGGAATATTTTAACACAGCTTCTCTAAGTAAGTGATACGACAAGCAGCTATCACACCTAACGAACGAAGAATATACATGTTTCTCACATAGAAAACACTTATAAAATTTGACCACATATTGATCATAAAGCTATCCTCAACAAACTTCAAAAAATTTGTATCATACAGAGCACATATTCTGATTACAACATAATTAGGTTAGACATAAATAACAAAAAAGATAACTTAAAATGTTTTAAAATTATAAAGGCATATTCCTAAATAATTCATGGGACAAAAAAGAAATAAAAATGAAAATTAGAAAATATTTATAAATGAATATAATAAAAATAGTAGGTATTACCTTCATGGTACTTAGAGGGAAATTTGTAGCCTGAAATGCTTAAAGTAGAAAAGAAGCCTCAAAATTAGTGAGTTAGACAACCAAAATATGAAATTAGAAAAAAACAGCAAAGAAGATAGAAGGAAGAAAACAAATATCAGGACAGAAATCGCTGACATAAAAACAAACATAAAGATGATAGGCAAAATTTAAATCAATTATTTGAAAATGTTAATAAAGTAGACAAACATTGGACAAGATTAGTGAAGAAAAAGGTAAAATACGACAAAATTGGGAATGGAAAGGAATATAGGAATGTAACTAAATATTGTATGAATTAAACAAATAACAAAGAAATATTACAAGCAATTCCATGGCAATAAACAACAAGATGGACACATATCTACAAATCTACAACAGATTAAAACTGTTTCGAGATGAAAACGGAAAACCTTCTAGTTGCTGGACTTCTTCCACTAGGGAAATGCAAGACCCAAAAATCCTTAAGGTTGATTTCCATCAAACATCAAAGATCAGATAATTCTACCTTGTATATGTTCTTCCAAAGAATGGAAAAAGTGAAAGCACATACTAACTCATTTCAGAGGCTATCTTACGCCTGATACTAAGACCAGATAAGGAATGCAAGAAAATAAAACTACAGTTCAATTTCCAGGGTAAATAGAAATGAAAAATTCCAATCAAAATACTGTAAAGAACTTAAAATACTTTAAAGCAAAAGGTGTAAAGAATCATACATTGTGACCACTTTGAGATTATCCCAGGAATACAAAATTGGTTCAATTTTTAAAATCCATTAATGTAATTAACCATAGCATCAGATTAAAGAAGCGAGAACAAACATTCGTGCTTACAGATGCAAAGATCTGTTTGGTAAAATTCAGCATCCATTCACGATTTCAAAACAAAACAAAACTTGTAACAAAGAATGAGAGGAACTTCCTTAACTTGAGAAAGGGCACCAACAAAACCTACAGCAAATCATACATAAAGGTGTTCAAGGCATTCCCTTTCAGATCAGAAAAATGACCAGAACACCTGCTCTCACCTTTTCTATTGAGTAATGTACTAAAGGGCTTAGCCAGTGCAATAAGAAGGAAAAAAGACATAAAAATGGAAGAGATTGGAGACCAACAATCAAAGCTGTCATTATTTGCAGGTGTTAAGACTCTCTACATAGAAAACCCAAGAGAACCTACAGATCAATTTTTAGAATAGAAGAGTTTATTGTGTTTGTTGGACAAAATCAATACACGAGTCAATTGCATTTCTAAATACCAGGAATATACAATTATAAAATGTAATTTAAAAAGAGAGACTATATGGAAAACTATACAGTAAGGCAAAAGATGGTTAAGACAATATTCAGGGTGATCATTGGTGACGTGCAGTTGGGGAGGGCACACAGGGGGTTCCTAATGAGTTCCAAAGGGTCTATTTCTTTTTTTTTTTTTTTTTTGAGGAAGATTAGGCCTGAGCTAACTGCTGCCAATCCTCCTCTTTTTGCTGAGGAAGACTGACCCCGAGCCAACATCCGTGCCCATCTTCCTCTGCTTTATATGTGGGACGCCTGCCACAGCATGGCTTGCCAAGTGGTGCCATTTCCGCACTTGGGATCCGAACCAGTGAACCCCGGGCCGCTGAAGCGGAACGTGAGCACTTAACCGCTGCGCCACGGGGCCGGCCCCAAGGGTCTGTGTCTTAAGCTCTGTGGTAGATTTTATTTCTCTTGTTTCAACTGTACAGATGCTCTTTTATACTCTTTTTTTAGGTATGATTTATTTTGCAATTGTTTTTATTATTAAAAAGCAGTATATACTCTTTTTATGTACGATATTATTTATAATGATTTTTTAATCATTAAAATAGAAAGCAGAGCACCATATTCTGGCACTATTCCAATCGTGTTCAGCTTATGTATAAATGGCGGGGGGGGGGGCCTCTAAATGACAAGTGAGAACCTGGAAAGATTTAATTTGGAGGAAGGTATTGAAGGACTCTGAATCTCAAATGCCACGTTAAAGAATTTTTACTCTGTTCCGAAGGAATAGCTGTATATTCCAACAATAAACAATAAATGTACATGCAAGCAAATGATGGAAGAAATTACCTCTGTGTTTTAGGAAGGTAAATGGGAAAGTAGCACGATGACATTTTCAGAATTTTAGGAATGGCTTTCCACGCAGTGTGACATACTTTGGTGATGTTCCAGAAGCTACAGCCTCCTTTCCTCTGCTTCCCCATGCATTTCCGTGTGAAGTGTCAAGACACTGTCCAGTTATGAGATGTCCTGTGACTCTGGCCTCAGCCAGAACTCCTCCTTGTCCTTTAGCAGAAAGGTAATGAGAGAGAGTAGATTTAGGACATTTCTTCTACTAGTCCACAGCATGCAGGGACTGACCCCATGCCACCCAACTGCCCCCAACACAGACAAGCTTTGACTTTGAGGATGCTCTCAGGCCACTGGTCCCTGGCTTGTCTCTCTGGCCCAGCATCTGCTGGGAGTCTGGCTCTTTGCGGCTCCCTCTCCTCTCTGCCCTGCCCTTGCTCTTTGAATGGGAACAGATTTGGTTCCCCTATTTTGACCTTTCACACTGTGTCTCAGACACAACTCTCCATCACCCCTTATCCTGACCTCGCCTTGTCACTCTCCCTTCTAGAAGAAGCCCAAACCTGTGGGTTCTCAGCCCCGGGCCACTGACACAACCCATCTTCCCTGGGCCAGCCTGCTGGAGCCCACGCCTGACTCAGCTCCCCCGTCATTAAGATAAGGGCTTTGGCCTGGGTCACCGTTGGCTTATCTCCCGAGATCAGTGCTGAAATAGAGCCGCAAAGTGTTTGGCCCTGACTACAGTCTGAAAAACTGCAGGTTGCAGCCATAAGCGGGTTGTGAAATCATTTGGGTGGGTCACGACCAGCATTATTTTTTAATAGGATAGAATTCTATTTTTAAACAGAACCCAATAGCTAACACCAAAGTGCCTCACACATGGCAAGGATAAGTACCATTTCTTCTAAAACTTACATTTCAGTTGTCTTTGTGGACTGAGTCTTGACACCGTGATAGGCTAAATTATGCCCCCTCAAAATTCATTATGTTGAAGCCCAAACAGCCAGTACTTCAGAATGTGACTGTATTTTGGAGAAATAGGACCTTTAAAGGGATGATTACGGGCCCCAACCCATTGTGACTGATGTCCTTACAAGAAGAGGATATTCGGGATGCACAAAAAGGCGTCAGGGGCACATGCGCGCTGAGGAAAGACCACGTGAGGACGCAACGAGAAGCTGGCCACCCGCAAGGCAAGGAGAGGGACCTTAGAAGAAACCAACCCCGCTAACACCTTGATCTTGGACTTCTGGCCTCCAGAACTGTGAAGATAAATTTCTATTGTTAAAGTCCCCAGTCTGGGATTACGGCAGCCCCCAGCAAACCAATACAGACACGGTATGTAATTCTTATGATTGAACGTTAGTCTTTGGCTTAGACCATCACGAAGGGTCCTTCCAACTTTAAAACTCACTGAAAATTAAAAAGAATAAAGGCCTGTCCTGCTGGCAAGGAGGTTTCCTCGGTGGTCTTGAGGACCTGTCAGCATGTCCCACAGGCGTGCCCCCCATCAGCGCTTGCAGGGTAGAAACGCGGCATGTAGTGGGACTCTGAGCAGCTTTGAAAGCCTGTGGCTGCAGCTCTCATCACGAAGATGGAAAAACAAGCTTGTGGGAGGCAGCTACGGGAGTCCAGGGGCCAGACAGTACTTTGCAGCCAAGGGTTAAAAAGAGCTGGACTTTTGAAAGGTTCAGGGCCAGGCGCTTGGTCTCCCTGACACTGGGTCCCTTGTGCGATGAGATAACATGGTGAGGTAGTAGGTGTTTCTGGATCCCGCCCCATTTCCTTCCATCGGTCCGCCCTGGAGCACCATCCCAACATAAACGAGGGCGAGTCCTGCCCTAGCAGAGCCGGCCCCATCCTGGCTGGAGCAACGGCACGCTCGCAGCAGGGTATTCCAAAGGTGAGGCTGTCAGCACGGTCCCCAGAGCGCCATTTGATGACGACCTCCTCTTGGCAGGTCTGCTTGGAGTATCCAGGAGTCTCACTCTCCTAGTCACTGTGTAACCTCCCACGCCTGCTGCTAAAGAGTTTTCTGTCTCCAAAAATAATCTCTAAATGATGGTTAGCACGGCCCCGGCATAATTCATCCTCTCCAAAGGAGTGAAAGGGAGTTAATGCCCAACTCCTGGCACAGCCACAGAGCGGGGCTTGGAAGAGGAGGTGGCCGTGACCTCAGTCTTTGGCAGAAGGTTGTGGACTGGATGGGGAGCCAGGCGAGTGGCAAGAACACCTGGCATAGGACTCCTGGCATGGGCATTTCCTCCAGGCCAGAGCCAGGGAACAGTCCGAGCAGTCCATCATCCAAACAGAGCTCTGGGTGTCTGTCACCTGAACTGGCCATGCCACCATCCTTGGATGTCACCAGGACTTCACTTTTCCAAGAGCTTCCTCATGTGCACTTGGGCACCAGGCAGCAGTTGCCTGGTTGTGGGACCTGATCCCTGATTGGGAGAAGAGCATCTTTCCACATCCCGACTTGGGCCTCCCGTGGACCCCAGGGGGAAACCAAGGTCCTGGCACATGGCTCCACCCTAGACATAGTTTTACTTGTGGCTGATTCTCAAGACTAGAGAGGCATTAGTTTGTGCCAAGAGAGGGATGCTGTGGGCCTCTGCTTGCAAGCTTTCTTCACATGCTCCTTTTCCCACTCATTCAGGGCTTTCATTTATTCAGAACATTTTGAGGCTGGGGAGAGATGGAGGATGGAGTCTGCAGTGAAAAGAGAGGAGGTTATTCAGCATCATCAGTGTGTAATTAACCTTTACAACAGTGCTGGGAGTGACAATTAATGTACCCCCTTTGCAGATGAGGAGACTAAGTCAAACAGCGGGCCCCAGGTCACCAAGCTTGTGAAGGGCATTCCCACACAGTTTATTTGTCAGTTGGGATCTATCATCTTTGCATTCTCCCTCATGCTGAAGCTGGGAAAGATATTATACTTGGTCCTGAGAGAGACAGATAGGAATGGAGAGGGGGCCCAAGGGTGAATGTGAAGATGATGAGAAAGCTTCAGGGGCTCCTCCAGAGCAACGAGGGTGAGCCCAAATGCAGGCCTTAGAAATGGTCCATGGCCAAATGCAGGTTCACGTGGTCACTTCTGCCCTTTGAATTAGTCATCCTCCATTAGACATTAGAGGCATTGGCCCACTCTGAAGGCAGGGTCATGTGGCAGAAAGCTCAGGCCTCAGGTCAGGCCCAGCATCATGGCTTACTGGCTGAGTGACTCTGGGTGAGTTGCTGGACCTCCCAGTGCCTCTTTCTTCATTTGGAAAATGAAGGTGACCCTCTCTCTCTGGGCAGTCTTGAGAGGATTCAGCCCTGTGCTGGCCGTCTCTTCTCCTCACCCCGCATGTATAGATGGCATGTGTTCACGTGCTTCTGACTCTCTGCTCACAGCATTGGGAGGTGTTGAAGTCAAATGGAAAATGTACACTTCCTCCACAGAGCTCTCCTTGTTTGAAAGAACTGAATCTTTATTTTGCTTTTACAAGCAAAGAGGTTTTCATTAATTTGTGCCAGACCATTTAATATATTCTTAGGTTTCTACAGTGTTCTTGTTTCGCTTCATTTTCTGGATTTCCAAGAAAGTTTCAGGATTCAATTTGGTGAAAGACCTTGAAGGGGTTGAGAGAAATAAGAAAAATGGAAGCAATTTCTTTGCAACAAGACTTTAGTTTAAGGACCTCACCAAGAAATAAGTACCATTGGACGTATGCAGGGGTTTTCCTTAAAAGTCTTCATCTTGGTTCTTTCTGGACAAAGTAAGATTGGCAAGAAATCAAGCCAGAAACTCAATCACATAATGTGCACTGTTTTGTTTGTTTTAATTGGGGTCATTAGGCAGCAGTTAAAGCCCTGGATAGTGGGGGAAAAGATGCTTTTGAAGAAACATTCACCGTAATCCACCTGAAAGCTACTTGGGAAGGCCACAACCCCAGTGGGGAAGGTTTTTCCACTGAAAGCCAAGCTCATGCTTCTAGATTGTTCTTCCTGTTTTACAGGTGAAAACACTGAAGGAGGGGAGCTCTAGTGACTTGCCTGAGGTCCCAGAGCTAGTAAGGGGAATCTAGCAGACTTAGAAGACTCCAAAGGCCTTCTTTGCAGTGGTGGTGGGAGGGGACGGGGGAGGAGTCTGGAAGGGGAGGGGGAAGGTGGGGGGAGTGGAGGGGAGAGAAAGGAGAAGAGAGGGAGAGGGAGGGGGAGAGAGAGGGAAGGAGGAAGAAAGATAAGAAGAGACCAATGGAATCATGCTGGGATGGGAAGGCAACTCAAGAGGCCTTAGCTTTCCTAACCCAATAGTTACCTTACAAGGTTGCTTCAGAAGCTAAAGTGATACAGTGATGGCACAATGGAGCACAAGGCAGAGAAATGCTTCTTTGTGCCAGATTTGAGGAAGGGCAGTAGCTCTGCCATCCTCCAGCTATGTGACCTTGAGCAAGTTTCTGTCCTTCTCTCTGAGCATCAGTTTCCTCACCCACAAAATGGGACTAAACATAGACCTTACCTTAGAGAAGGTGGGTCAAGAAGCTGACATGTTGGGTGACCCATCGGAGAGACAAATTTGTACTGTGATTAAGAACATGATGCCCAGTGAGAATTTTAACACACAATACAAACAAACATTATTGCTACCATTTGCATGAAATAGATGTATACACTGAAGCAGCTGTATTTTAGTCCAGAAAAATAAGAAGATGACTGATCCAAGGACTTGGGAGAGAATGCTGCTATTGCAAAGGATAATGCCCTCCAATGGCTCAGGCAGGGGGAACAGCACAGCCCTGGTCCTGGGGACCGTGGAAGCAATCGGGCCCTGACTGGAAATTCCCCCACCTAGCGTAGGCCCACTCACCTTCTCTTCCAGGTAAGGTTGACAGATAAATTAAAAAGATACCTCATTAAATTTGATTTCAGATAAGTAATGAATACTTTTTTAGTATAAGTATGGCCCATGCAATATTTGGGATATACTTGTACTAAAAATTAGTCATTTATCTGAAATTCAAATGTAAGTGAGCATCCTATCTTTTTTATTTGTTAAACGTGGAGATCCTACCTCCAGGGAGAAAGGCAACTTGCCACTCAATTCACATTTTTGTTATAATTTCTTTTCTGATTATGAAAATAATCAAAATATAGGAAAGGTTAAAGTAGGAAAAAGAAAAATAATAATTCATATCTAATACCATGAACTAATGCTCAAAAGACTGCAATTCTGTTTTTGTTTTTGGTTTTTTTTTTCTGGGAAAGATCACCCTGAGCTATCTGTTGCTGAGCTGCCTCTCTTTTTTTCCTCCCCTCCCCAAAGCCCCAGTACATAGTTGTATATTCTAGTTGTAGGTCTTTCTAGTTCTTCTACGTGAGCCACTGCCACAGCATGGCTACTCACAGACAAGTGGTGTGGTTCTGTGCCCAGGAATGCCGAATCAGAGCACACCTAACTTTAACCGCTGGGCCATCAGGGCTGGCTCAAAAGACTCCAATTCTTATCATGGGTTATTTCTTTGTATTTTATACAGCTGAGATGTATTTTATGTATGAATTTTACACATCTTTGGCTTCACATTATACATAATCTCCCTGTCACCAGATCTCCCCTCCATTGCGTTCCATCCCTCACCAGTCATAACCTCCCTCCCTTCTTGCTGAAGAAGTTGATGGTTTCCAATGTGCATATCTGTGCATAATCCTCTGTCCACACATCTTCAGAGGATCTTTCAAGTGGCTTTTAAAATTATTCCAAGTTACATATATGTAATCGTGGCAATTTGAAAGTGATGACATTTAATATCTCGTGGTGACTTTTTTCTAAGGGTCTCGTGGGCGCAGTCAAAGCTTCCCTCCCAAGCCCAGCTGAGCCACCCTGCAGAAGTCCCACCCACCCCCACAAGCTGATGTTCCAAGAGAAGGAAGAAAAGCTGGCACCCCGGCTTTGTTCCTCCTCGAGCCCACAGCACTCAATTCCACAGAAGACCATTGGTTGGAAGAACCCAAAAATAAGATCTACAAGATGGCGCCTCATTTTCCAAGGTGGAAAGAATGGACTTCCGAATAGTTTCTTCCACCTAATAGGCTGGAACATGCAATGAAAGAGCTCACTTCCCCCTTAGACTCATGGTTCTCAGCCCCAGCCGCACACTCAAATCACTGGAGGAAGTTGAAAAACTGCCAAATCCCTCAGCCCCACAGCAGCCTAGTCAATACTTATCTCTGTGGAAGGGTCCCAAGGACCAGTATCTTTTCCTAGAGTTCCCTGTGTGACTTCGATGGGCAGCCAGGGTGGAGGACATCTGCTTCAGGAGACTTTGAAGCTGCGGTACTACTCGCAGTGAATCAAACTGGAGGAGGCTGGAGACGACAGAAGAAAGCAGACGATCTACCCAAAGCTGGGACCTCAAGGTCATCATGCCCTCAGGTCCACCCCGTGAAGGAGCCTGTCTGCTGGTCTCAGCAGGCACAGCTTCTCTTCAGGGCCTCTGCCGGCATCTTCCCTGTGCCAGGAAAGTGGCCTGGCCTCCTGAGGTCCAGCTCAAGTCCCCCACTTTCTCCAGATTGCTCCTGACTCCCTGTCCTACCTCCACCCACAGCCCACATACCCCTCACCCTGGTACATGGTTGGCATGGCCTTGGCTCTCTGCCTGGTGACCAAGCGTGAGCCCCAGGGCTCCGCTCAAAGCTGGCCCGAGGAGCCAGAGTGAGGCTGCTTCTCTTATCTCTTGGTGGGCCGGTTCCTCTCTCCATATGAAGAGACAGCTTCAAGGACCAGGACCTGCAGCTTCCCCTGAGGATGGAGGGGTCTGTTGCCCGCATTGCAGACTTCTCATTCCAGGGCTAACTTTTGCTCTGTGGGAAGCCAGAGCCATTCCTCTGACCGTTCAGTTTCCTTTCCAGGGAGGGACCCGTCACCATCAGGCAGAACCACCAACCCCTCCTCGGAAGCTGCACACACACCTAGGCCAGGAGGAGAACTTTGGCCTGTCTGAGTTCTGGCTGCTTTAGCAAAGTCCCCTGGACTGGGCAGCTTAAAGCACAGACCATTATTTCTCACAGTTCTGGAGGCCGGGCAGTCCGAGCTCAGGATGCCAGCATGGTTGGGTTCTGGCGAGAGCCCTCTTCCTGGTTCACAGACAGCTGCCTTCTGGCTGTGTCCTCCCACAGTGGGGAGAGAGATCTCTGGTCTCTTTACCCCCTTGTAAGAACATAAATCCCATCACGGGGGATCCATCCTCATGAACTCACCACCTCCCCAAGGCCTCGCCTCCAAGTACCAATGCATTGGAGGTTAAAGCTCCAACATACGGATTTTGGGGGGACACAAACATTCAGTCCATAGCAGCATCCATAGGGGGAGTCGGCAGGGGGGAGACGCACAACATCTCAGGAGAGCAGCTATACATTGGGAAATGTCAAGCCACGCTGATGGCCCCTCACCACACAGTGTTGTTGGGGTGAGTGTGCTAGGACAAGGGGGGCTGGAGACAGGGCAGGGGTTGCCCCTTGGTCCTCTCATCTGAGCCCTCCCAAGTCACAAGAAGAGACGAGAGAGGATAGAAGGGCAGGCTCTCATTGCAGGATGTGAGGGGCTGACATCACTTACTGGGCTCCTTAATGATGCCTCCCAGGACGGTCTGACTCCCACTTGTCTCTGCGGCCCTCAGTTGTCAGTCAGCAGATGGTTAGTGCACACCGGCTATGCGCCTGCGCTGTACAGTGAGCGAGATGTGCAAGTTTCCTTCCTTGTGGATCTGACACTCCTGTGGGGGTCTGAAGACAGACACTAATGACCCAGTCACACATATGCAGGAGGCCCAAAAGTGATGCCTGCAAATCTGAGTACCTGCAGGACCTATGGTTTCCAGTTGGGTTCTCTCTATGGGGCACCGCGGGACACTGAATGAAGGGTGGAGGAAGGAGGAGGGAAGTGGGAGCCAGGGGGCCCTGGACTGGTGGCATCCTTGACAGAAGGCTCTGCTCCTGTCCACCCCGGATGTGGCCAGTCTCTGAGATCCATTCGCCCTCCTCCCCTGTGGGCAGAGACAGGTAGAGATCCCCACCATAATTTAGCACCACTGGCTCAGAGGACCACCCCACCTCTCAAGACTTCCCCTAATCCCAGCCCACACTTTGTAAGCAGTCCTCTCATTGAACCCTCATCAAATTACTCAATTTAAATATCCCACCTGTTTCCTGCTGGGACCCCGACCGACCCAGTGACCTCGTCTGGGAGGTCAGAGAAACTTTTGGAGGGAAGGATGTTTGCATGGAACCCTGAAGGATGAAATTCCGATCGCTCTTAATGGGCGGATCCAACACGTGTTTTTGGCCAGTAAGAAGAGTCCTGGTGAGCTCAAGGCTACAGGGTCGGGGTTGCAGGGGGCAGAGGAGGACCCCATGAAGCCCTGCCTCTCCTAGCCATGCCTGGCCAGGGCGTCACTGGGCTCAGCTGTAACAAAGAACGAGAGGCAACTCACACTCCGTAAGCACTGCAGGGGCCACTGTATGCTGGGGCCAGCACCTTCCATACACGTAGCTGGGGGAGGCCAATGTCTGTGCTCCAGGTTGTGAGGGATGCTCTCTGAAAGGCCAACGCAAGCAACTGGAGGGCTGGAACTCAACTTCAGGGAACCCCACACACACACTTTAACTTTGCCTCCCTGAGTTGGCACCCCCAGAGAAACTGGGGTTAGAACTGGTCACATAGACACATATTCCAGATTCCATTTCCTGACCCTAAAGCTTTGTTCCCTAGGTGTGTTAGTTTCTTAGGGCTGCGGTAACAAATTACCATGCCCTTGGTGGTTTCACACAATAGACGTTTATTCTCTTGCAATTTCGGAAGCCGGATGTCCGAAATCAAGCCATCTTGATTTCTCCTTCTGGAGCCTCAAGGGGCATATTCATTCCCTGCCTCTCTCAGCTTCTGGTGGCCACACGTGTTCCTTGGCTTGTGGCCACATCACTCCAGTCTCCACAGCCAAGATCTTCAAATCTTTTTGTGCTCAGTCTCCATACACACTCAGTTCTCCCGTGTGTGTGTAAAGTCTCTCCCTGCCTCCCTCTTATAGACACTTGTGTTTGCATTTAGGGCCCACCCAGGTAATCCGGGATGGTCTCTCCATCTCAAGATCCTTAACCTACTCACATCTAGAAAGTCCTTGTTTTTGCACATAAACTAACACTCGTGGGTTCCAGGCATGAGGAGGTGTGTATCTTTTTGGGGCCACGTCTCAGGCTACCACACCAGGCAACGAGATGTTGTCTTTCTGGGTAATGCACACGGAGCTGCAGCTGGATTCGGGCAGAGCTGCGGGCCGACAGCAGAACTCAGGGTTCCCGATGAGCTGTTGCCGCTGAGTCCCGGTCCTGGGCCAGTCGCTGGACCTCTCTAGGCGTTTGCTTTCCATTTTATAAGTGAAGTGGTGGAGGTGACCCAGGTTCCATGAACCACTAGAGTGTCTCGGGACGGGCCTCAAGGCGTCTGTACGCCACTTGCAAAATGGGTGTTCTTGCACATGCGAATGTGTCTTGGAGCCCTCCTTAGTTCCTCTGAAGGCCAGAGGCCAAAGAAGCCTCATGAAGTCTCAACTGGGCGACCCTCAGCCTTGGACAGAGAGCCCTGGGTGCTCTCACAAAGTAGTCAGGCTCCAGACGAACTACAATTCAGCAAGAACCTGTTGGCGCAAGGCCCGGCATTGACAGATCGCCTAATCCTTCCAGGTGATTCTAATGTTCAGGCCGCGGTGGGAACCAAGAATCTTTAAAGTCCTTTCAATGTCCCTTCCAGGTGGGGCATTTGATGAATCAGTAAAGACAAGGCTGCGGGTCTCGACTCTGCCTTCACATCATTGTCGCTAACAAACACAGGTTGCTGTCCCCATGCCAGGGGCTCTCATTTAACTGATCTGCGTGTAACATGGGCATCAGGACCCTTAAAGCTGCCCAGGTGATTTCAGGGTCCAGCCCAGGCTGAGACATAAAAAAAGGCAGCCTCACATTGCTGCTGCTATTCCAAAGGGCGATTGATTGTTAGAGCTGGGGAGGCCTTCCTGATTGGGAGTTTCCAGACCATAGAATGGCTCGATCTATGGGAGACTGTGGAAGGCGTTTCTCTGGAAATCTTGACCAATCGATGAGGTTTCCAGATGTTAGAGGATTCAGCCATGGCTGTGCTGCCAGAGGCTCGAGGAATGGATTAAGTGACCTTTCAAAATTCCCGATAATTCCTTGAATTTATAGAAACTGCTATCAAGCCTGCCCTTCATCGATTCTGTCACCGTTTAGACAAGAAATGCAAAAGGAATAAAAATAACCAGATGAATTCAGGGTCGTGGAAAATGTCATTACTGGTAATAAAATTACAGGAAGCCTTGCTGACTCTTGCTCCCTCCCCAAGACTAACATGAGAACATGTTTTTTCTTCTGATGCAATAATTAAGTTCGCCCAAGAAAACGTCCCTGTGCAGGCCTCAGGGCAGGCGCTCAATGAAGCCTTTAACTGACTGATGGATGTGACCATCTCGGTTCCCGTGCTCGGGGGCCAGTGGGCTTCTCAAGAGGATTAACTAAGCAGTGATGGGGCTAGTGGGAGAGTAGGGGCCTCTAGAGAAGGGACTAGAGATTCCTGAGGGCCAGAGAGACTGACTTCGTTAGGAAATGGAAGAGGATTGGGGTGACACTTCCGAAGCTAGCAGCAGCCACATTTCTAGAAACAGAGCCTGAGGTCAAGACACCAAAATGGAAATAACAGTTCAAAGTCAGTCTCATCAGATACCATGGGGATGAAGACACACAGCCCCTCAACCTGAGCACAGATGAGGCACGGGCCCTTCCAAGGCTCTGCAGGTACCCGGAGAGCAAGACACAGCCCTCCTGCCCTCAAGGAGGTTTCATTCAATGGGGAACAGACCTTCATCTTGTTGTCTCCCGGTGTGCTCAGAAAACTGGCCGAGATTGGGGGTGGGGTGGACAAGGCCTGACTTGAGAGCTGAAAAGCTGAGCATAATAGAGCCAGGCTGGCGGTAGGTGGCTGGCGGCTGGGCCAGTGGATCCACACATGGTGACAGTAACAGATGATTACTCGGTTGCAAAACATGCAATTGAACACGGAGGGAAGGGTTTAGCCTCATTAGCTCTCAATGAAACAAAGAGGAAAGCCTCTTAAAGAAGGATTTCTCTCCTCTGGAGGAATCCTCAAAGGATGGGCAGTGTAACGGTGGGTCCTCCCTGCACTGTGGGGAGCAGTGTGAACAGACAGGACCCTTCCAAGAAACAATCTGGCGTTCTGCGTCAGGCCCAGGGGTATATTTTGACTCATTATTTTCACTTATGGGAATTTCTCTAAGAAACATCTCACCATACCAAAGGCGTTATGCTCAAGGGTCTATACCGCAGTGTTATTTATAAGAGTTTTAAGCAGAAGCCAAACTCCCCTCCTACAACCACAGAGAAATGGCCCTTATGCCCCCAAACAGGCAAACACACAGTGGAATGTTATTAGATCATCAAAGTGAAATTTATGAAGAGATCAAAGATCTTAATGATTCAGAAACGTTAAGTGAAACATGTTAAGATATGGAATTATATTCATTTTGGCAGCCACTGTGTAGAAATAAGAGGTTGCATCAAAAAAGGAAAAATATATTTTTTAAATATTATTAGAATTGTGATACCACCAAAAACCGTTTTTCTCATTTTCTGTATTTTCTAAATTGTCTATAATGGGTATCATTTTATAGTAAATAAAAAGAGATTTTTTCTTTTTAAAGAAAAGGTCAATTCTGTTTCAGTGGCTAAATGGAAGCCATGATTAATTATTGCGGTCACTACCTTTGTCGCTGCTGGTCCAGTGATGTGCCCCTCCCCCACACACATCTTCTATAAACAAACTCAAACCTTCTATAAACATAACATACATGTGGAGTTACTCTCTAGGACTCGGGTAGTCTTTGTGGAATGGCGGATCTGAAAGAGTCTTTTATGGGGCTGGGACTAGACATACGATGCTTAGACCTTGGTCAGTTATCCATTGCTGTGTAACAAATTACTCCAAAACTTAGTGGCCCAAAATGGCAAACACTTACAATCGCACCATTTCTATGATCCAGGAATTCAGGCACAGCTTTTGTGTTTCTGACTCAAGATGTCTCGCAAGGCCACTGTCAAGGCCTTGGCCTGGGCTATGGTCATCTCAAGGCCCAACTGGGGAAGAATCTGCTTCTAAGCTCACTCATGTGGTTGTTGGTTGAATTCGGTTCCTCACTGGCTGTTGGCCAGAGAAACCCACTCCTTGCCATGCAGGCCTCTCCATAGGGCAGCTCACAGCATGACAAATCCCACAAGGGCATGAATAGCTGGAGGCAGCGTTCATTGGGCTGTCTTAGAGGCGGCCAACCACAAACCTCATTAAATACGCTTTCTCTCCACATCTACCTTCTACATTAAAATGGAGTCAATGCTCACCACTGTTCCTTTTTACTACTCCTTTTCCATTCAGTTCTTGCATTTCAGCCATTTTCTGGTAGATTTTCAAGAGTTTATATCCCTGAGTTCTTGCAAGTTTGGAAACATAGGATAATACTTAGGAGAGCAGGATCTGGCATCAGACACCTGTGTTCATGTCCTGGTTCTGCCATTTCAAGCTGTGGGAACTTGGGAAGCTACTTAATCTCCCTGGGTCTCAGGAACCTCATCTTCCAAATGTGGCTAATAACGGTACCTACCTCATGGCATTATTGAGATAATTAGATGAGATAATATATACAAGC